GTTTTTCTCCATCTCTTTCCTCGATTCAAGGTACTACCATGGTGTCCTAACCCTAACTTCAATGTACCTTGTGGTTTGACTCCATTCTTCTTCTCTCTCTACTCCTCTATCTCCCTTGTTTGGATGTGTGTTGTGATTTGAAGCCCCATGAATGGGATGGTCAATTTGGGCGTCGGAGGTCCCGGCGGCCGTCGGAGGTTCTGACCGTCGGTACTCCCGACGTCAGGCCGGAACTTCTGGCTGTCGGAAGTCCCAACATTGGCCGGAACTCCCGACCCTAGAATGACCTCTCCATTCACGTTTCTTCACTTCTCGATGCTCGTTCGTGTCTCCTTGTATTGTTTCTTAGTTCCCCTTCGTATTCTTCGCAGTCATGGATGGTGGAAGTCCTTCGCGTCACCAGGAGAAGCGTTCCAAGAAGAACCAAGATTGCGCTGTTGTTCCTAAGCCGCCCGGCCGCACCAAGGCGTCTTATCAGCGTGGTGGTGCTGGTGGTTCCCGCGTTGCCCGTCGCCGTGTTGATCAAGGGTCATCGGCTGTCGCTCCTCCTCCTGCTCCTACCCCTCCTCCTGCTCCTGCCCCTGTTGGGGCTGAGCCAATGGTTGATGAAGAAGAGGAAGCGCTGGACCGTGCTGGACGCACACTTGTTGTTCCACCGCTTCGCACCCTGCCTCGAGGTCCGCCAGGGACGTTTTAGCTTGTTCCATTCACCGGTGTGTCACCGATCATGAGGGCGCCCACCATGGCTCCAAATCTAGCTGATGGATGGACTCCTCCCCTTCTAGTGGATTATCGTCACCGAGTCAAGGACATCCGGTACAACAGAGGCAGGAACCTGTATGCAGAGGATGAGAAAGATCTCCGCCTTGAGTATCGTTTCTAGCACCCCTTCCATTATGATTTCTATGATTCCATTCTTTATCGAAAGTTTTTGAAGAAGAAGGAGCCATCGGTCCTTCAGATGAAGTGCATTGATGCATATTCTCTTGGCAAGAACAAGGAACCCGAGCTGGAGCAGATGGTTCAGGATATTCAATCAATGGGGCTGTCCTACCTGCTAGCGTTTCGGAAGAATCGGAACAACGAGCTGATTTGTCAGTTTTATGCTTCTTATCATCCTGAGAGAGACCAGACCGGTGCTGTGGACATTATTCATTGGACCACTAAAGGCAAGCACTATAAGGTGGACTTCGTCAATTTCTCTCGCCTTCTAGGTTTGGGTCACAGCGACCGGAATGCCAATGAGTTGACTGAGTATGAGGATCTTGCTTTGGAGGAATATCAACACATGTATCTTGAGGGCCACAGAGCTGATGGACAGACCGCATTTCTGAAGCCATATTATTATGTTCTGAACAACATCCTAAGACAGATATTGTATCCGAAGGTAGGTGACTCCACCTTCCTTCGTGATGATTCACATAAGGTGCTTGAGAGATTTGGAGATGAGTTTCAGAAGTTCTCCATCAGCCGCTATATATGGAATAAGATTCATGATGCTTCTGAGGATCCGGTGAAGCATCTTCCCTATGCACCATACATCATGCATATCATAGAGCATGTATCCGGCATCCGTTTTCCCTATGACTCTAAGCATAAGCTCCTCAAGATATCCAACAAGACCTCTATCATTGCTGCCAGAGAACTACGGGAAAAAGCTAAGGTAGCCTAGGGAAAAGGGAAAGGTGTGTCTGGTTCTCGCTCTCGCCATGGTGCGTCGACACCTGTTGTTGCTGCTCGCTCTTCAAGTGCTGAGCCTCTCTCTTCGTCCTCGTCTGGAAAGAAGTCCAACAAGTTCAAGTTCCTAATGACATACATGTTTGGACAGTGTTGTGCTAGTGCTCAACGTGAGCACGATATGCAAGAGAGGCTATATCGGTTGGAGCAGCACGCAGGGATTGTATCCTCTCCTCCGCCACCGTTTATGCCTCCCCATGATCCGTTGGCTTTATATGATGAGGCTTGTGCGGCGTACGAAGATGATGTGACTTCTCGCCCGCATGGTAAAGGGAAAGCGACTGAGGATGATGAGGAATACATAGAAGAGGATGATGATGAAGACGACGACGGTGGTGACAACGATGACCAAGATGAGGATGATGACTACGATGATGAGTAGTTGCTTATTCACGCGGCCTACCCCTTTTGGCACTTGTTGACAAAGGGGGAGTGTTAGGCTTTGATTTATCTTGTAATAAGTTAGTTGGTCTTATGGTTTTGGAACTTTAAAACCTTTAGCGTGCACGAACTATGTCGTGTGGTGGCAACCTTGTGATGGACTACTATCTATATGTGTGTGTGATGGATGATTATAGGACAAGTTTATGGTTATCTATTTATCTTATTAGCTTATACTTGTCTCTACTTATGATGGTGAATGCATTTTGGATGGCCATGTGTTGCTTCAAATTCTTTTTTTAAATCTTGGCCATCATATTCTCATTTATTTGTTGTATGAAATAACATGTCATATTGCATTTCTTTTCACGTCTATATACTTGTTCACACACACTTGTTGCACCCCACGGATTGCAAAATTTAGGGGGAGCTTTTGTCTTGGTGAATGCAAATCATGTATAGATGATTCTAATTGATGTTCAAATTCATGCATACATCAAGGGGGAGCTCTTCATAAATTTTGGGGTTCAAAAAGCTTTAGATTCTTTCATTCCTATAAAAGCCTAAGTTGGTTGTCATCAATTACCAAAAAGGGGAAATTAAAAGTGCATTTGCCCCCTATATGGGTTTTGGTGTATTGATGACATCCAAATTAGGGACTAATGTGATCTTAATGAGATATGTTGCAGCTATTAGTCCCATGAAAGATTCAAAGAGTTGATAAAGATGAAATGGTATCCCTCAATTCTTGAAGTTGTAAAGGCGGACGAACTCAAAACGATCTCCAAAGGTTTTAATTTTGTTTTTGAGTTTAGGATCCACCGCACTATAAAGAGGGACGCAAGTTTAGTTGGTCTGAGTTAGATAGAGTGCTCAAGCATTTAAATAAAATTAAAAGAGAGTCACTCCACATAGAATAATTTTCTGTGACTTTCGGTGTCAGAAGTCCCGACGTAAGTCGGAACTCCCGACAGTCGGAACTCCCGACCTAAGCCAGGAGTCCTAGCACCTGTGCTTCTGACTGGCTCGCTGTCTGTGCTCGTCGAAAGTCCCGACGTTCACCGGGAGTTCCGACCGTCGGAAGTCCCGATGTTCGCCGGGAGTTGCGACACTGACCTGACCCAAGCCGGGAGTCCCGGCATCTGTAGTGCTGGCTGTTTGGTTTACTGCGCACGTCGGAAGTCCTGACGTACATCGGAACTTCCGACCGTCGGAAGTCCCGACGTTTGCCGGGACTTCCGACACTGACTTGCACGCGCTGACTTCCGACTCTTTGTGTACAGTGTTTTCTGTTAACGTCGAAAGTCCCGAGATCTGCGTCGGAACTTCCGACGTAGATCTGAACGGTTGAATTTTCACTTGGAGTATAAATACTCCTCTCTTCACTTCTAACCGTTATGGACTCATTTCACAGTTGACTCACTTCGTGCTCAACAGCTCCCAAGCAACTAAAGCACCCCTCTCCTTCCCCTTTTGTTCCAATCTTCGATTTCCTTAGGGTTTGAGTGAAAGGAGAGTGGATTAAGTAAGAGCATCACTTTGGAAAGCTTGAGCACTTGATTTCTTCGTCAAGCCGGTTGATTTTGCGTCTATTACTCTTGGGGCTTTGCCCCTAGCCGGCTAGGCGTTGCCCAAGAGCTCCCATTTTGTGGAAGAGCCTTGGGAAGCTTGTATCACCCTTCGATTTCTTAGTGGAAAGCTCAAGTGACCTTTGTGGTCGCTTTGAGAGAAGCAAGGTGGAAAAGACTCCGACCTTGGTGGTCATCTCAACAACGAGGACGTAGGAGCTCCTTAGTGGGGTTGTCGAACCTCGGGATAAATCATTGTGTCCCGTGTGCTTGTTGTTGTGATTGCTAGAGATTACTTGTATGTGTTTGTCTCTTTGTCTCCCAAATCTCCATTTTAGGGTTTGGACTTGATCTATGGTTTGGAGGCATTACGGCGTCAAGGGAGTGACTCAATATCTTCACCAAACCACTAGGAAGTGAGGTTGTAAGATTATTCATCCGCAAAGTTAAATTTGGCACTGCTTTTGTAGTTCACGTAGGCGTCGGAACTGCTGACGTTTGCGCCGGAACTTCTGACAACGTCGGGAGTTTCGACCCAAACGTCGGGACTTCCGACATTAACTGACAGATTTGAACTTAGCATTTGCAGTAAATTTTTAGATACGCCTATTCACCCCCCCTTTAGGCATTGCTAGATCCTTTCAATATCAATAAGGGTATGTTTAAAAATGCATGATTTTTTTTCTATATTTCTGCATTTTTCCTATGAAATTGAATTGATTCCTATAAAATCATGTACGATTCCTGCAAAATTCCTGCGTTCCAAACAAGCCTTAATCGTATAGGATATCACAATAGGAAAAGTTGAGGACCTCTTTGACAAGGCTTAAGCCGGCTTCCACTTCACCATTATGCACGTGTTATAGCAAAGAGTTGGTGTAGTTCTGCAAACCTATCTTCCCTGCCTTCTCCACTTTGCTAGTGTATTTTGTGAGGAGAAAGAGATAAAACTTATAGTACCTTCAAAAGTGAAGCTAAAGCCGAGGAAGTATGCTAAAAAATGCCCGATTATATGGGTCGGGAGAGGGGCCCGTTAGGGTCATTTTCATGGGCCGGATCAAAGATACAATGGGCCGACCCCGCACTGTCCTCATCTTTTCAGCCGGAGCCGGGCAAGGCAAGGCAAGGGCAACCGAACCGACGAACCCGCCGTCTCGTTCTCCTTTGCTTGCTCTCGTCGTCAACTCCCGAACCAGGAACCCTGACCCCGACCCGCATCCTCCGAATCACCTCCCTACCTGTCAAATCCCCCAAATTCGACCGCGAATTCGGCATGTGCGACTACGGAAACCCATCACCCTGAACCTGCCGGAGATGATCGCGTCGCAGCCGCGCCGGGTCCGGCCCCTCGCCGCCGTCTCCCTGGTGCTGTTCCTCCTCCTCCTGTACAGCCGCTCCGATGGTGGCTCGCCGCGCGCCGCGCGGCTTCTGGGCTCCGGATTGCATCCGGCGCACCGTAGGTTCCTCTCCGATGCCGACCCTGCCGGCCCCGCCGCATCCAGCGCCGCGAATCCTTCGGGGTCCGCTACGCTGAATGGCGAGCAGCCGGAGCACCCTTCCACGGCGTGCTCGGGCATCGCGCGGCACGAGGGGTTCGGGACGCAGTGCGAGTTCCTCCGGGCCCACCCGCAGTGCAGCTCCGGTGGGTTCGTCGACTACCTAGGCTTCTTCTACTGCAGATGCGAGAGGTTCAGGGTGCTGGGCTACGCGGTGCTCGGGGTATGCCTGGCCGCGCTGTTCTATATGCTGGGCAATACCGCTGCCGACTACTTCTGCTGCAGCCTTGAGAAGATGTCGGCACTGCTGCGGCTCCCACCCACCGTGGCTGGCGTGACGCTGCTCCCCTTTGGTAATGGCGCTCCCGATGTGTTTGCTAGCATCGCGGCGTTTATGGGGAGCGGAGCTGGTGATGTTGGGCTGAACAGTGTGCTCGGTGGAGCTGTATTCGTGACCTGTGTTGTGGTTGGGGCAGTGTCATTGTGCGTTGCGGAGAAGAATGTGCCGATTGATCGGAGGTGCTTTGTGAGGGATGTTGGGTTCTTTCTGGTGACTCTGCTCGCTTTGTCTGTAGTGTTGATCGTTGGGAAGGTGACTGTTTGGGGAGCTATGATGTTTGTGTCGATTTATGCAGTCTATGCATTTGTTGTGGCTGCAAATGAGGTGTTGAGGAAACATGCCAGGAGACTGAAGTTTGATGTGGTCACACCATTGCTGCCTGTGAGGGCAAGTATATTTGAACAAGGAGCAGAGGAGGATGATTCAGTGTACAGTTCACTTCTTGAGGAGGATGCAGATGGTGAGGCGGCCCAAATGAATACATCCTTGCCTCAGTGGATGTGGGCTTCTCATGTGGCCATCTACTCAAATCATGGAAATAGAGTTGGTTCGCCTGACAGCTCAAGGCCATTGTGGGGTTGGAGTGAGGGAGAAGTGGATAACTCCACGTTCAATATTTCCAGGCTGTTTTCGTTTATGGAGCTTCCCTTGACGATACCAAGAAGGTTGACAATTCCGATAGTGGAGGAAGACCGCTGGTCGAAAGAATATGCTGTTGCAAGTGCTTGCTTGGCGCCTGTTCTTTTGGCATTTTTATGGAGCAGTCAGGATACAGTATCCACAAAGGTTAGCATAGCAGCATATGTTATGGCTGTCATTCTGGGGATCGCACTTGCTGCCCTTGCTTTCCTGTTCACCAGTAACGAGCGTCCTCCACGGAGATTTTTGTTCCCATGGGTTTTTGGAGGCTTTGTGATGAGCATCATCTGGTTCTACATCATTGCTAATGAACTGGTTGCACTTTTGGTTGCTTTGGGTGTGATACTGGGAATTAATCCTTCAATACTTGGGCTAACAGTGTTAGCATGGGGGAATTCAATGGGTGACTTGATGTCAAATGTCGCTTTAGCGATGAATGGAGGGGACGGCGTGCAGATTGCCATGTCTGGATGTTATGCAGGACCTATGTTTAATACACTTGCTGGTTTGGGTATATCGATGCTGCTTGGAGCTTGGTCAACAGCACCCAATTCGTATGTTCTTCCGCAAGACTACTCTCTTATTTACACAATGGGCTTTCTTGTTGCTGGATTGATCTGGGCTCTTGTTATGCTGCCGAGAGGTGACATGCGGCCTAACAAGATACTTGGAGTTGGCCTCATTGCTCTTTACTCAATTTTTCTTTTTGTTAGTGTAAGCAATGCTGTCGGCATATTGCCACTGCCTGGCTTGAGTTAGATAATTACTTGCTTGTAAAGTTGGGATTGACATCAAACTACTTGCTCATGGCTTCCATTTTATATAAATGAAATGAAGTTATACAGTGTTGTTCTGTTCTGTACTTCTGTTCTTGTATGTCAAGTTGTGTGCACATTTTTTGGGATCAACATTTTCGGGAGAAAACACGCTTGAAATTGCGGTATTTATTTGTATGTATAAATTTATCATCATTCACAGAAATAATGTTAACACACCTTGAACTTTCTGTTACATATTTGCATTGCACACACTAAGTCTCCTTCCATCCTGTAGAGCTGCCACTTCTCAAAGTTCACAAGGTTATATGCGATCTATGCCCAGCAAGTTTTTTTGTATCTCATGTTGCCCTCACTTTTAGTTTTCAACTATTTGAAACAAGAAGTGATGTTTTTTACTCTTGAGATGAGATTTGGTCAACCAATCAAAATGTCATTTAGAGTCCAATGACGAGTCTTTGGTAGACCCATATCGGCAATGGCCCGCCACCGTCGGAGATGTGCAACCACTGTGCGATATTGGCCATGCCTGGCTCCCACCCTGGGTGGTGCGAAAACCAGAAGGTACCAAATCAGAAACACTCAGATGCTGAGCAGTAGCACTTGTTGGATCTGGATGCCCTCTGCGCCACAGCCTTGGGCATCCGTGGCACGCCATGGCACCCCTCCAGGCAGAGTCCATGAACAAGCTGTACTCCTCGATGGTTTTCGCTTTCCTCCCACCTTATCAAACTCGTGCACGGGCTCCTTGACACCTACCCTGGCAACCTTGTATTGCCGATAATTCTGGGAGGTCATGGATTGCTATTACAGTTTCTTGGCAATGGTGGTGTTGGATGGAAGGCCAGGAAACAAAAGGGTGGCACTTGGATGTAATGTGGGTTTGGGAAATGGAAGTGAAATGGTATAGGAAGAGGTGAGTTTGGTATATAAGACCATTCCTTTGTTTGGTATGAGATGATCAGATGAGTTCGGATAGAAAATGACTACCAAATGACCATAATACCCCTTACAGAAATAGAGAGCCAATCAAAGTAACATAACTGAGGAAAAAACAGAAAAATATTGTAATTTTATGTGTTTCTTACTCATAAATGTCCCACCTATCACCCTGGGTTTCAAATTCTGGGGCAAAACACTTGGGAAATGCTACTTTCTAAATGTGTGGCTGTTAACGCCCTTGGCCAGCGCGGCCACCGCTGGCTGGTGGTGGCGGTAGAGGTCAGTGGTGGCGGGGCTGCTGGGGAATAAGATGAAGATGTGTTGACCAGAAAAGGAAACTTGATGGCGGGATTTTTTGTCGGCAAGCCAAAAGTTGAGTGCAAAAGCGCAACGTGATCCACGCTCAAAATCAAGCAGCTTCCAAAAAATAATTCTATTGTTTGTTGATGCCTCTGGAATTACTATTTTCAGACTCTTGCAGTTGAGTGTTGATGGAGCTGGTGGACAGAGGTCTGACATTTTGAGGGGGGATATTTGGTTCTAATAACAGCTCCTTATATATAAAAAAAATGTCTTCCTTTTAATGCAGTTTCTTGATTTGACTCTAGTCTTTTCATTTGTATTTTACTTACCTCTTCTTTTGGTGGAGCGTGGACTTTGTCTTGTAGATTTCTCTGAGCAGATAATTTCCCTCATCAGCCTTGGTGATTTTCCCCATCAGTACTCATGCTATGTTCATCTTAATCTATGCATGTTCATGCTATTTCAGGTTAGCAAATGAATGGAGATATGTAATGATACGTCCTATCAGCTGTTTTAATTCATGGCTCTTGTACGTGCAGTTAATATTTTTACTAGTCTGAATTCTCTTGGGCAGGTGGTTGGCAGACAAATGGCAGGGATCCTTACGGTCAGTCATGGTTACTCATGGGAGGGTGTCACTTACTCAGGATCAGGGTCTTTAAATGTGAGCGTTTTAGCGATGTAGTTGCTAGCAGCCTAGCACAGTGTCATTTAATACTCCCTCCTAGTGTATTCCCATTTGTTTGATTCTGTAGCATATTGCCAAACTTGGGACTTCAGGGAATTTAGCCTACAACATGAATAACTTGGTTACATTAGTTGAGCTGAGTCCCCAATTGTAACCTTCACTCAACCTAGCTAGTTTATGGCGAGACTTCAATTGATAACCATCCTAAATCAATTTTTGATGTAGTGATATGAGCCAAAACAGCCTTGGCGGTGGAAGCCAAATACAGTACAACCTTATTATTTATATGAAGCTTGGGTGACTGTAAGTTCCTAGACTGAGAATTCATGCATTTGAAATTCTCTGACTATTCAGGTGGTATGGCTGTTAGATGATTATTCTTGTTGTGCAGCAATCTTGCAGGAAATCGGTTTGGTGGAAATTTACCCTACTCGATTTTGACAATGCCTAATCATGGAATTGATTTTACCTTGGAATATGTATTATCTGGAATGGTTAAATGTTTTTCTTTCTTGGCATATGCAGAAACCTTAACCATAACCAATTACAAGGATGTATTTTCTAACCTTTATAGTTTGACAGAATTGTAAGTATTCTGTGGCATTGTCAGATGGATCATTTTCCTTTGCAGGGGCCAGGGATATCTCCTTTGATTCGCTTACTGGTGATCTACCACAAAGTTTCATTGGATTGTCAAGCCTGAAATTTTTATGAGAGGATGTGTTGTTATATTTACTTTCATCTTGTAGACATTTTTTGTTTCCCTTCTGTTATATATTTGCAGAACAATCAATTATTGGTTATATCAATGTCCTAGCTAATCTCCTTAATTCTGTGCAATTCAATGGTGTTTTATTTGCATAATATTCACTTGAGAGATGCTTTCAAAGCTTTAAATTATTATGGGAACATCATCTTATACAAATGTTGCAGACATGAAGCGTGTCATGAGACCACCACAATAGACATAGAGCCTTTGGCTGTACCTGGCTACCTGCTACAATTAGTCTGAAACCACCCCCGGAGATAAATGCCAGAAATCATTTACAGGGAATAGTTCAATGACGGAAAGGTACGCTACATATCCTCATGTCACAATTCCTATGTATTTTTAAAGTTACATGAAAAAGGTTTCGCTTGTGTCTGTATGGTCTTTGAAACTGGGGATGATATCTTCAAGCCACCACTGGGTGATTACATGTCCGCAATAACCCTGATGTCACTTCGTGTGTATATGTATAACATTAGTGGCAATTATAAGGCACTTACTTTATTTACCCTCTCTAGGTTCTGGCCATCATGAAATTAGACAATACTTTGATACCACTCCAATCTTCTGATGACTTTGCTGAACCGATGTTGATTATTTCAAAATTGCACCATCTGGGTCTGAATGAACTTGTGGGCAATTGTATGGAACATGGACTTCACTTCCTTGTGTAATACATTCGTGAAATACATTTATCTATCCCTCATCATCCATAAGAATTTCAAGTCATCAAACATTTTTCTGGACTCAGAATTCAGTCCACACCTTTCAGTTGCTGGACTTGCAAGCTTTATTGCTGATGCTGAATTCCAGGTGGTGGCCATGCTGAACTGTTGAGAGAAAGCAGAAGCGCTCCCTTGATGACTCGGTTTTTACAAGTAGAAAATTTGAATATTAAACATCCTAAAAGCTCACAGTATGTAGTGAACCCCAGGATGATGGAATGCGTCACACCAGGAGAAGGCTACAGGTAACCTTTTCTGAACAATATTAGGCACGTAGCGACCTACGCTGCCCCTCCCAGGAACTGGAAAGGTCAATGTGGCCATCCTATCACCCTCTAATATGGTCTGCTTTTGCTCATCCCCGTGCTCCCTTTGCAATGTCCAGTTCATGCAGATGCAGGTGGTTTAGTCTAACTTTCCCTGCGTCCTGGAACTGGTGCCCTTTGGTCAAGAGCTCAGAAACGCTTGATATATGTAAACTATAATGAATGCCCCCTAACACCCCAAAACTATAATGATGGGTTGCCATTTTCATCTTATTGTTGCGTTGCTTCCCGGCTATTTTCTGTGTCTAATTGGTGGAAGTGGTGAAATGTATCGTGTGTGATGAAACTATATGTGGATGTTGCACTACATGATCTTGAGGAACATTGGATCTACCACTATGGGATATAAATAAAGTAGAGTTGATAGGTACGTACTGAATTTCGAAGTCTGGCTACTTTGATATTAAAAAAAAACCGAAGTAGAAAGATTTTATCCACTCTAAATTCGGCTTATTTTGAGCGCAACATGCACTGGTACGGTACTCGTATAAATCGTTTTCTTTCTTGAACCGAGGTCGACTCCATCGCCATCACACATAACGGAAATATAGATGTTCAGCAGCCAAGGTATTCGTACAATCTTTATGCTCACCTGTATACACTATGAAATATCGTTGATGCGCACACAACGCAATAATCCGTTGTAGTCTAGCTGGTTAGGATACTCGGCTCTCACCCGAGAGACCCGGGTTCTATCCCGGCAACGGAAATTTTTTATGCGAACCTACGAGAAGACGCTGATTCCGTTTCATTTTCACTTTCCTCTTGTTCGGACTTTCCACAAGTCAATCGCCCTGTCTGCAGCAGTACTTTTTTTTGGTAGCTATACGCCTACGAGAAGACGCTGATTCTGTTTCATTTTCACTTTCCTTTTGTTCGGACTTTTCACAAGTCAATAATATCAAAAACTACTAAGCGAGCAGTAACTTATCTCGACCATATTACAACAGTGGAGAACGTACTGATTAATGGGTCATCAGAAATCATGAGACTTTATTTGCCTGGTTTTATTATTATATCTGTAACATCACGATACACCAGAACGATTTTATTTAATTTGGTTTCCATCCTAGCTTACTGTAATCAACGATGAAGGGGGGGGCTCACAAAACTGTCATGCCCATACCCAATACAGCTATAACTGCGTCATTAGGGAGCATACCATGCTATATAACATATTAAGGCTCATCCGTTAATTTAGACCAGCAACGAAGTAAGCTTTCCCTCGCA